GTGCCAGTAAAACTCATTCTTAATTTCACATGCTATTCTCGTTCTACCCCCTCTTTCCTATCTATTCTTTGCTTCAGCCAGTTCACACTTCTCACATTTTCCTAATGGTGCCATATGGCCTTTTTTTAGGCTTTCATGTGATCGCATATTGATTCCTGTGTTTGGAACACACTTTCCTCCCTTTATATAACATCTTTCAAAATTCAGCTAAAAGGGCAACTCTGGGTAAGCGCTCTGAAATCCCCCAACCTTCCAACCCCGCCCTGTTCCCTTATTAAAAAATTTAAAAGAGAAGGAAGAAAGAAAAGGAAAAAACTTCCGATGCTTCTCATTGCTCTTGAGATAACGTCCAAAACCGTTAGGTGGCTTACATTTCCCTGCAGGGTCAGTTTTCCTGCGTCTCTGGCCCATCACCTTCCCATTTTGAGGAATAGACCAGTGTGCTCTTGTCACACTGGCCTTTCCTTGACCTCCTTTAGTGCTCTGCTCCTTCATGCCCTGCCGGTCTTTTGTCTTGATGGTCTTCCTTCCCTGCTCGCTTGCCCGGACCCAGCAAAGGCACTCATTTGTAAAAGAGGATAATATACCTCCTTTGTCAGACTATTAAAAGAATTTAATATATGTCGAGTATGTATCATGGTGCCACACACATAGTTAATGTTTACTATCATTATTTTCTAAATTACTGCTCTTCTCTCTTCCTAAGTTTGTATCCTCTTCCCCAGCCCCACAAGTTCTCACTGCTCTGGTCACTTCTCTGTAATGATAGGTTGTAGCTTTACATTTATTTTGTGACTATCTGAGTGATGTTTCCCCAATAGTCATGCGCTTTTGCTCACCACCGTCACCCCAGCACTGATGCCAGGCGGCTGGGGGCACTCAGTGTGTGGCATTGTATGAATTTATGCGGTCCTTCCATCATCTTCAGATGACTTGTTCCCTATCACTCTTGCCACTTTCTCACTAGATTGTCATCCCTCAGGGTGTGGGGACCGTGTTTGATCACCTGTTTCCACAGTGATAGGACAGTGCAAAAGCATAAGAAACAACGCATGAGCAAAGGTTGCGTGTGGGGATAACTACTTATCAGCAAGGAGAATTGAGAGGATTCTGATGAACTAGCAGGGTGGACATGTTCAGGGCCCAGACAGACGTCACTGACTTTGTTTTCCTTCCTTCCTCATCACGTGTCTGCATACAGAGGATGCTCACAGAATGTCGAGATCAGATTCAGTTTTCCCAAACCAGATTTATATCCATCTCTTCCCCCCCAGAAATTTACCTATTATATTTTTAAAAGATCTTCCTGCAGATGAAATCAGCATGATTTCTTTGTCATTGGGATCAGTGCCATGTATGTGCAGGCAAGCAAAGAGCTAACATAATCTCGCATTAATGGGATAGTTTTCCAGGCCGCCTCTGCCGAGCTTGCAGAAGACCATTAGCAGGTCTAGGCAGCAGCAATGGGGGCCAGGAGCATGGCCCGCACAGCCTGCCCCAGCCCACCGTGGCTCCGTCCAGTTCTCCTAGAGCTACATTCTCAGCTCCACGCTCATTCTGGCACCTCTCCTTCCACAGCCCAGGGTCAGCGCCGACTGGTTCTTTGTGCCTGGTGTTTTGAATGTCCGTGCGTGCTACTCATCTGCATTGCAACTGTGGCCCTCTCAGTGCTTCGTACCAGCTAGGTGGATGTAGAGACAGCAGGTCCTGACTTGTTTCTCAGCACAAAGTAGGGGTCTCGGGTTTAGGACTGTTTCTTTCTGTGCTCTGGCTGATCACCAGCTGCCTCAGATAGGAATCTCTCTTCTTTCCCAACACTCCCGCTCTTCTACACTTGGCTCCTTATCCCCTGAGATCTTCAGATTTGATCTGTCCCCTAAAGGAGGAGCAGGGATGGAGGAGGGGGCTCTATTACACCGATGTCGTATCAACAGCATGGTTAAGAAATAGACCAAATTCAGGAAGGAATATATGTTGGAAATCTAGTTTCTTAAAAATCATTTCCTTTCCCTTTTAAAAAATAGAAACATAAGGAAAAATTACCCCAAATATTGAGACATCACAGATGATGAGCAAAATTTGATGTGGGAAGAAGAAAGGTCCATGTCCTTGAAAATGTGTGTTATTGTAATGATTGTGGACATGTTGTTTTATTAAGACGTGACCATCTGTTTCTCTGAGAATTTTCAGATGAACCAGTGCATAAGATAATGTATAGAAAAATAAGACTCTTTGTTTCAATTAATTAAAAATAACTGATATGCAAAATACTCCTTGTTTCATAACCTCCACTACTATCACATATAGTCATCTCCTGGCAATAATATTATTTCTGTAGTAATTAACTTTAATCCACTCTCTTGAAAAGCTTCATATACTTCAGGCATGTAATTATTATCACAGGGAATTGTTTCCCTGCATCCTTCTAGCCCTAGGGAATAAGAGGGAATCCAGTCTTTATTTTTACTGTGTCCTTCACTTAAGAATGGAGGAAAGAGGTATTACCTCTCAGCACAGCCTGTTTTCATTTTGCAGTTTCTTTATATTTTCATTTGCCAGCCTGGAGAAAAATGTGTTCAGAATATCAGAATCTAAGAAAAGAGAATCTGTTTGATTTATTTTCTATTCTCAGAGTCTTTAACATGTGCAAGAGAGTGAGACCTGGGGACAGCAGGATTAGAAACCAGTGTGCTGTGCACCCAGGTCATGAATGTCTCTGGGGTCATGACTGACTCAGAGCCACAGCAGCGTGAATAAAAGAAGGCATGGGGTAGAAGTAGCACTCCTGGGCCAAGTGTGGATAGAGCAGACAGACAAACTGAGCAGAATCTGCCCTGGAAGGAGTCGCTGGCCCCTGATAGACTTTGAGTTCTCTGAGAGCAGAAATCCTGTCATATTCATGTTTTTTAAAATCTCCCACTGGCTTTTCCTACATAGGTTGAGCATCCCTTATCCGAAAATCCAGAATTCGAAGTGCTCCAAAATTCAAAACTTTTCAAACACCAACATGATGCTCAAAGGAAATGCTAATTGGAGCATTTCAGATTTTGGATTTGTAGATTAGAGATGCTCAACCAGTAAGTATATGCAAATATTCTAAAATCCAAAAAAATCCAAAATCTGAAACCCTTCTGGTCCCAAGAATTTCAGATGAGAGATATTCAACCTGTAGTAGGAACTCTAATAAAAAGTGTAAGTAAGCTAGCAAATCATAAATGAGAATTTGTAGGCAAAGGGTTTATCATCTATAAAGCACTACGAATAAAGGTGGTGGTAATATGTTTGGGAGTTTGGGGGGGTTCTTACTTAGATTGAAATAATCTTATTATATGGCCTTGCTAAAGAAGGTGAAGGCCTCTATTAGAATCTCCAGTATTCCTGAGTCAGACCAGTGTTATGTATCATGATTTTATGGCATGTCAGTTGCGTGTCACCAGCACAGTAGCTTCCAAATATCTTCAGTGCCTATGTTTCTCTCTCTAATCCTTGTGGACAGTACCTTTTTGACAAAGACATTGACGTAAAACATACACTTGCAAGCCATATTCATTCAATTAACAGATATTTTCTGAGCTTCCACTGTTGTAGGCACTGGGGATACAGCAGGAAATAAAACATCAAATTTCTCCTCTCATGGAGCTTACATTCTAATAAGATGGTGTTATGACAAAGGCTACCAATACTTTTGATTAGTAAATCTGCTGGATGTAGTGGTCTCATAAGTGCCTTTACTGTATGAAATTCTGTACTTTATGAAGGCTACGTTACAGTTTGATTCCAGGGATCAAAAGCATTGGATGAACTTGTTTCATTCAGATGCTCATGAAAACTGTTGTAATGTTAAAGTCTGTTCCTGCCATCACTGGCAGGAGTGGAAGAAGAAGAAAGGATATCTCCAGAGTGAATTAATGTTGACTGAGCACAATCTGTATATCAAGCACTATATGTTAAGGACTTTAATATGCATTATCTTATTTAATATAGAATCACTATGAAATAGGCATTATAATGGCCCTTTTTTTATTTAAGCATTTTCCATGGGTCAGGGACACACTAAGTCCTTCCTCTCATGATCTCATTTAATCGTCATAAAAATACGACGAAGCAGGTGCTTTTAATTCCACCATTTTGCAAATGAGGAAGCTGCAGCTCAAAAAATTGAAGTAGCGAACCTAAAATTGAAAGGAAAAACCCCGGCCGGAGCACATAATAAGGCACACCAGGAGACAGGGACTCGACCGAAGTGTATCAGGCAGGCAAAGTGAACAATCAGGCTGCCCTCTCGGGAGTGGGAGCAGCAGCAGGGAGACTCGGGGTGGGCCTTTTATATCCAGTAGGCTGAGCTGGACTGTTCCTACTGGCTAAGAAGGAAGGGGAGGGAAGCCAGCGGGGTTTAAGCTGAGCTGGGACTTTCTCATAGGCAGGCAAAATTGTGCAAGTGGAAAGGTGAGGTGGCAGCAAGGGGATTTTTCTGGGTGGGGGTTTTCCCGGAAACTTTCTCAGGCGCGATTTTGTGTATCTCCGTCTTTAACACCATTTGACTTTTCTGATGGAGGCTATATTAGCCAACAAAAATCACATAGCTGGTGTGGAGCCAGGTTTACGCCCGAGGCCTCCCATGCCATCGCTTTTCGCTGTGTTCCATGTTGATTCGGTCAGGTGGCCCCCTCTGTATTTTTTGAATGTGTCTCTTTGTAGAACAGTTAGACTGGGGAATTCTGGTGTCCTGCCAAATGGGTGTGTGGAAGCTGACGGTGAAAACCCTTCCCGTTGAGCTACTGCTGGCGTCACAGAGGGTTCTTCCAACCTTGCTGCTACCCCTTGACCTCAAAGTGCAGGCCAGAATTTGGACTCTTTGGCTGTTATTCCCTAAATAATTATTTTCATTTTCTTGGCAGTCCATCCTTCCCCTGGCCTTGTCCGCAAAGCTAAAACCCACATTGAATACTACTGCTGAGGGTGCACAGTCCTGTCTGTGGGGACGTGGAAGCCCTGAGTAATTTGCCCAGGGATATCTCATCGTTGGAACTCTTTTCCTCCCCCAGGTTGGCAAAGCCCTCTGTGTGCTCACCTCTGAAGGCAGAAGGTAAAATAGATACTTAAAAACTCATTTCACAGTTGATATTTTAATAGATGTTGCTCCCAGCTGCTATTCTGTTTTAGATTTCTTAAGTAAATGTTTTGTGTTGTGTATGTATACCCTAGGGCAATATTATCACAAAGGGTGGAGTTTTATAAATTGAAAATAAATTAACTTGGGTACATGCCATATTCCGAAACATCAGTAGAGGGGCAGGAGCAATGTTAATGAAAAGTAGTATCTCTCTAAAGTAGTAGTAATGGAAGACAAAAATAAATGGAAAGTAAGGAAAGATAGGGGACAGAATGTTATTTGAGAGATAGTGAGTGTGTGTGTGTGTGTGTGTGTGTGTGTGTGTGTGTGTGTGTGTGTGTGTGTAAAATCAGGAAGACGAGCAGAAAGACTGGGAAAGGTTGATATGCCATAAGAAGGAGAGTATTCAGCAATAGAATACAGGTGAGGCGAGCTTTGCCAGAGCTGGGTTGAGTACTGATAGGTGATTTGAGTGTTTTCAGTCTCTTTTGGCCCTATTTACCTTAATGGAAGGAAATGGTTTTGGAACGCAGACCCCAGTCTCTACCTGCTGCTGGTGGAGTCAGCTTCCCTCCCTTACTTCTGTCTGCTCACGCACTTGTTCTGTCCCATGGCTGGGTACTTGGGTACTCTTCCTTAAGGGGATGGTGATAATGTCACTGAGGGTCTGTGCTCAAGAAAACCTCAAAGACCAGGAAACTGGATTCTGTAGGAACACATTACTCCGAAAGAACCTGTAACTCTCTAGAAAAAAGACCAATGTGATCTGTGCTGTTTGGCATATCAATGATACCCTGACAGCCTGCTCATGGTGGGGGGATGGTCTACACACTCTCCCCTCTACCACATTCCTTCTCTTACTTGTTATCTGTGGCCCATTTGACCTGTCTGCAGCTTTTGGCATGATCTTCTCTACTCCTTCCTTCCCCAGCTGATGTTCCTCCTCCCCTGCCTCTCTTCCTTTGACATTGGAGGCCCTTGTGTCCCACCTTGACCTTCTCACACGCTTCCCAGATGCTGTCACCAATCACGGCTTAAACCTTGTGTGCTCTGATGATTCCCCTCCATCGATCCTTTTCTGGGTGTGCTACCAACATCTCAGATTGAGCATATCTGAACTAAAACTCCACACCCATCCCTAACCTATTCCAGTCCTCATGCATTCCCTCTCAAGATCCAGCTATTCACTTGCTCAAACTGTAAATCGTTTAAGTTTCTCTCTTTACTTTACCCATAGTTGGTAGGTCTTTCTGCCCAGTGGATTCTCTCACATATTTACCTTGCTGGGCCTTCTTTGTGTCCCCATAGGGATTGCCTGCACAGGCTCATCAGTTTTTGTCTGGATTTTACAACAGCCTCATACTGATCTTTCTGCCTCCAGTTCTTTGTTCCACCAGACATCCTTCATATTACCACCAGAAGGTTTTTCTAAATTCCATCTCTGATTGTGCCACTCACTGAACTCATGTATGTAAAAGTAGCACAAGGGGTTAATAGAAGCAGCATTCTTCCTGTAGATGCTAAAATTTGACAAGAAAATTTGACTAGATAGAATTTTAATTAATAAATACTGAATGAGGGCCCAGAAAATATCTAGGATAATGAATAACTTTGTCTAAGACATTATTATGTTTATCCATGTGAAATATGTTGAATTTGCTTGTAAAATTCAGGTATTCTAATAGATTAGTTTTCTGCTGCTGGAAATATTAAGTACTGACCCTGGGTCAAAATTTGCATTTGCTTCCTATCATGTAGAAACTTTAGCAAAATAAATAGGATCATAAAATTAACATTTCATTGTTCTTCAAAGATCTGTATTCACTTCTGCTCTCACTGAATTAAATTACCTGAGGTTACTTGTTTATATAAAGGAAAAAAAGCAAGTCAACTTGACTGAATAAAAATGGATTATTTACAAGGCCCTTGGACTTTCTTTTAAATTCTTATGATTTTGTTAGTTGACTCATATATCTTGTGCCTATATGAGTTTGGATAATCAATGATGTCTCTTTAAACACAAATCCTCTAATAAGAAAAACTTCTTTTTTCACATGAATATAGAATTACCCTGGAGAACTCATCTTGAATGAGAGTGGCTTCTCTTAACACTATTGTTTTGCTATACTATGGTTAAATTAAATTTCCTTGGACTGACCTGGGAACTTTTCCATTTTTTTAATGGTGTTGTTTCAAATTCTCAACTAATAAATAAGAAATTTTGGAAGCCCATTCTGTCTCATATAAACTGAAAACAGACTGCATTTAAAAAAAAATTTTTTTAACGTGTCTGGCCAGTACAGGAATCGAACCCTGGACCTTGATGTTATCACTCTAACCAACTGAGCCAGCCCAAGCTGCATTTAATTTTATTTTATTTTATTTTATTTTGTGTGTGTGTGACCGGTAAGGGGATCGCAACCCTCGGCACTGTGTGGTCTGCACCACACTCAACCAGTGAGCGAACTGGCCATCCCTATATAGGATCCAAACCCCGCGGCCTCAGCGCTACCAGCGCTGCACTCTCCCAAGTGAGCCATGGGGCCAGCCGTAGTTTAGTATTTTTTTAAACAGTGAATCTGGGGCCGGCCTGGTGGCCTACTGCTACAGTGCGCCGCTTGGGAGCGTGGCGGTGCTCCCGCCGAGGGTTCGGATCCCACATACAGACCGGTGCCCGCTCACTGGCTGAGCGAGGGGCGGGCGCAGCACCGAGGGTTGCGATCCCGTTGCTGGTCCCGGTCCGGTACGGGCGCGACACTGAGGGTTGCGGTCCATTGCCGGACACGTAAAAAGACAAAAAGGAAAAAAAAAAAAAAAACAGTGAATCTGGATTGTATGTGAGTGTTTTAAGCAAGAAAATCAGGAAAATAAGGGTAGGAAGACCAAAATAAGGCCTGAGATGAGGTTTGCAAGCAAAGTGGGTGCTTAGGGCGGGACAGTTGGCAGCCAAGAGCACGGACTCAGGTCTGGTTATGAGCTTGCCAGTAGCCTGTGCAAAGAGAGGACCATGATTAGTTCCGTGAGTGTTCATAATATAGAAGCAGCTGTCTGCTTAGGAGAATTACATGTCTTTCTGGTACTAAAATCCAAGAAATTTCTCCTGTGGCTCTTTCTGTGAAGGGCAACATCCTCAGTGTAAATAGAGCAGTTTCCAAAGGCACTTTCTTCTGGCATCCTGTAACGTTGGCCACAGTGGTAAAGCAGTTTGCAAGGGACCAAGATCTCAGGTCCCTGGCACACCCCACAGGTACAGCTTATAGTGGATACAGGAATAGCTAGATGGCTTGCCTTTTAGGCAATCCTCTGTAAATGGTACTTACTTCAGCCTGAGTTTTGATACGTTTTAAACAACATGGATGTGAAGTTATACTCCTAGACAAGATCTAAACTGAGTAGAAAGCCAGTCCTTTATGTTTACTTTAGAGGATTTCCCATGCACAGAGACAAAGAACCCTAAGAACTTTTGGATCTACTCCACTTCAAAGCCCTCCAATTCTGTACCTTAGAGTTTTTTTTAAGGAATTATTGTGGCAGGCTATCTATTTTAAAATAACTTGCAGATGACACCTTCAAATAAGTTACAAAATGACCTCCTATGTAACTAAGTCTGTGGGGTTAGTTTGAGCTAGGAGCCACTTGGCATGTGGCTCTAATAATTAAGAATCTGGTTTCAGAAAATTTTCTCTAAAGCCAAATTTTAAAATAATATTTTGAGCTCAGAGCCCGTATCTGTTAATACCACCTTCCTTCTTTGACCACACTTTATTCTTGACAATGAAACCACCCAGTTTCATTGTCATAGTTTTCTCTCATAGTATCAGAAAGGTTTGTTTGATATTTAGTGTGGTGATAACATGTTTTCTTATTCTAAGCCTATATATTATATGTATATTAATAATCTCAAAGCTAGTAAGAACATTTTATATTTCCACATTTTTTTCAGTGTCAGTCAACCACTTTGTAACCAAGTAAATCTTGGAAATAACAGGTAAAAGAACAGGCCTGCTAGTTTTTAAGACTAACACACCAGATTATCATTCTGTTCAAAGAATTTGGACGTAACTTGCATCCTCATATGTACTGTTGTTACAGGAGTAGAATTGTGATGATGGGTTCAAGTACCTTATGCCTATCATAGTAATTTTATTTTATTTTTTTTCATAAAGATGACCAGTAAGGGATCTTAACCCTTGACTTGGTGTTGTCAGCACCACGCTCAGCCAGTGAGCAAACCGGCCATCCCTATGTGGGATCCGAACCCGGGGCCTTGGTGTTATCAGCACCACACTCTCCCGAGTGAGCCACGGGCCGGCCCCCATAGTAAATGTTGAAATATAAAATGCTAATAATTGGAAGTATATGTAAATTATTTCCAGAACTGTCTAATATTAATAATTTCCTACATGGTTATTAAATGAATAATGAAGAAAAGATATAAAAGTGTATCTAGTAGGCAAAAGATAAAAATATTATCCAAAATTGCTTGTTAGGTTAAAAAAAATGACTTGTATTAGTTGAATCTATTGATGTATATAATTCTTCTAGCTAAATGTATCAGAATTCTTAATCCTCTTGGAACAGAAATCTTACATTCACCATCACATACAGGTTTTTGTGGGAGTTTTTGTTTGTTTTTTAATTGTATAGGAAAGTTTAATAGTAGTTATGGAGCACTTACTATTGCAAAGCATAGTACATCCCATGTTGAAGAGATGGAGGACAGACCTGCAGTCAGTCGCAGTGTACAAGGCCCAGCATACGGTGGGGTAAGCTGTAGTGCCAGGAACAGAGGGCTGCACAAGCCCAGGCCGGGGTGCGGCCTAGGAGTGAGGCTGGCAGTGAACCTGGGCAGTGGGTGGGGGCATAGGAGTTAGATGTTTTCATTAGTACACACTGAATTTTGTTTGCACTCTGTAGTACGGAAACTAAATCTTTACTGGTGTTTTTCTTCTCCCTCATTCTACCAGTTAAAC